TTTAGCAAAGGGAAGTACTTGGTTTCTGCAGCCACTGATCCTACCAGCTCCGAACTTTCAGATCTGAACTGCAGTTCCCAGGGATTATATAAAACCATACTCCCTTCTCCCGTCTACCCTCCAACCTCTTTTTTTTTTTTTTAAACTGTAAAATGCACATAAAACGTACTGTCTTATTTTAAGTGTACGGTTTCATATATAGAGCACACTCACTGTACTGTGCAACAATCACTGTCATCGGTCTCCAGATCTCATAACACAAAACTGAAACTCTACACTCATTAAACGATAACTCTCCATGCCCCTCTCTGCAGCCCTTGGCAACCACCATTCTACTTTCTGTTTCTATGCATTTGACCACTCTAGGTAGCTCATATCTCACAGTATTTGTTTTTGTGTCTGGCTTATTTCACTGAACATAATGTCCTGAATGTTCATTCCTGTTGTAGCATGTGTCAGAATGCCCTTCCATTTTAAGGCTGGATAATACTGTATGTATATACCACATTTTGTTTATCCACTCATGTGTTGATAGACCCTTGGGTTGCTTCTATCTTTTGACTATTGTGGGAATGCCACTAAGAACACATATGTACAGATAGCTCTTTGAGACCCTGTTTTCAATTCTTTTGTGTATATACCCAGAAGTGGTATTACTGGATCATTAACTAGTTCTTCTATTTTTAATTTTTTGAAGAATTTCCATATCTTTTCTACAGTGGCTACACCATTTTACATTCCTACCAACTGAATCTGTGTTCCAATCTCCCCATATCCTCACCAGCACTGGTTGTTTTCTGTTTCTCTGACAACAGCCATCCTAATGGGCGTGAAGTGATATCTGACAGTGGTTCTGGTTTGCATTTCCCTAATGATTATTGATGCTGAGCATCTTTTCATGTGTTCGTTTGCCATTTGTGTGTCTTCCCTGGAAAAATGTCTATTCAAGTCCTTCACCGATTTTTTAAAAAGATTTTATGTATTTATTTTTAGAGGGAGGGGAAGGGAGGGAGAAAGAAAGGGATGGAAACATCGATGTGAGAGGGAAACATCGATCGGTTGCCTCTTGTATGTTCCCCGAATGGGCGCTGAACCTGCAACCCAGGCATGTGCCCTGACCAGGAGTTGAATCGGTGACCTTTCACTTTGTGGAATGACGCCAAACCAACTGAGCCACACAGGACAGGGCCCTTTACCCATTTTTAAATAGAGTTGTTGGTTGTGGTTGTTGAGTTGACCTCTTCAACCTCTTTTCATGTCATGGTCCCACTTAATTAGTATCCTGGAGATATGTAGGCAGTCTCTTTCTCAAAGACATATGCACTCTTTCCTACCTTGTGCAGTTGCTGATCCATTTGCCAGGAATGCTCTTTTTCCAGCTTCAGTCATGGCTGGCTCCTCATTCTTTAAGAACCAGCCTAAACGTCACTTCAGGGAACCTCTCTTGACCACCCATCTAAAGCCATCTTCCTACTTAACCTCATATCACTGTTTCTTTCCTTCCTGGAACTTAATCATCATCTGCAATTACCTCACTTGTTTACATGTTTACTTGGAACTTACATTTACACGGAACACAAGTGCCAAGGAGGTGCAGAGATACTGCCTCACAGGGTCACCACAACAGCCTAGGGCCCAGCAGAGTACCTGGCACATAGTCTGGGCTCCATATTTACTGAATAAATGAACTCCTACTAGAGGAGGCATCTAGGGAGGGAGCAAGGTAATGTGGCCCCAGTGGGAGTCTAACCTGTCAAAGCCAGGCACAATGTCATAGCAAAGATGGCAGCGAGTTTCTGGTGCTGAGTTCTGGACTTTAATTCCTGAGGCAGAAGCACAGCACTATTAAAATCATGAACATTGCTTTAGAGTTGCCCAGGACAAAGCGGGAAGCCTTTTCCATGTCCCCCCAAGAGAGACAAACTGTGGTAGTTTGCTGTGGTCATCCTTACCCTTTGCCATATGCTTGAAGTATGAGTTAGCTTAGCTAAAGTCCTGTGAGATTTGCAGAATACTTGGGATTCTAGGAATGGCTTGGCCTTTATCAGTCTTCCTGGTGCCAGATATGTCAGTGAGAGTACATTTAGTGAGCAGTCAAAAGATAATAACAAATCTTCCATATCACAGGACACTAGAAAAATCAGAACTTTTTTATTTAAAAATATTTTCTTCTTTTTTTTTTAAAAAAAAGATTTATTTATGTATTTTTCGAGAGAGGGGAAAGGAGGGAGAAAGAGAGGGAGGGAAACACCCTTTGGTTCTCAGACCGGCACTCAATCCACTGAGCCACACCAGCCAGGACTATTTAAAAATATTTCCAAGGGCTAAAGTCATAGTGGAACAACCCAAGAATAGTTGAACCAAACTCAGGGAATTAAAGGAGCATCGGCCAATGCAAGCAGGTCTGTATAAACACACAGTTTATAAATGAGCACAAAAGAAGGTACACTGACCCCAAAGAACCAGGCTGGGGAACAAAAGGGAGAAACAGAGAGAGGACCCTGCAGAGGGGCAGACACATCCATACCACGCAAGGCCCTGGACCCTCAGAAGGCCTCCGAAGCCATCTACCCTACAGCATGCCTCTTGCCCTTTCTGAGCTGGAGGGACATGGCTGGAGGGACATGGCTGGAGGCTCTGTTCATCAGCATCTTGGCATGGCCACCTATGACTTGGCACCTCTCATGGCCTCTGGTTCGACTTAGCAAGGCTCAGAGAATGGATCTGTTTTCCCCACCCTTCAGCAAGGACCAGGGAGGGGAGGCTGTAGGGCAAGTCATATTACGTCCCTGAAAATAGGATGAAAAGGAGTGATGAAGAGGGGCTGGTTTCCAAAAGAGGAGGAGTATCCATCCAGTGTGGCACTGTGGGGAAATGGAACAGTGAGTTTCACCTGAGACATACAGATTTGGTGCAAGCAACGCACAAGGCCAGGCTCAAAACTCAGTCCTAGATCCTGGCATGGGGAGAGGAGGAGACCTCTAGTCTGAGCTTGGGGAGTCCTACTGTCAGTCCCTCCAGTCCTCATTTCGGTTTGTCATAAACAGGACCGATGATCATGGCTCTGGAATAAGTGATTTCCACTTGGACGTCTCCCCAATTGACCTCTCAGGTGTCTGGAAGGGGAAACAGTGGCTATTTCTGACACCACTCACCCCATCACCAGCGACTTTCCCTGACCCTGCGGGCCTCATTGCAGCCTGTACAGCGCTTCCCAAGGCACTGTCGTAGCGGATGGGGCCCCTGGGGAGAGCAGGCCAGAGTTCTGAGGCACAGAGAAGCTTTTCAGACTAGGGAAGACCTTGGCAGAGAAGGAGGAATCTCTAAAGCAGAGCCACAACTGTGTTTACATTTTCCATCCCCTCCCTCTCTTGTCCACAAAGGAATCAGACCGACCACCTGGGTCCCTGCACTGTACCAGACCCACTTTGGACACTTCCAACTTGTGCACGGAGAACAGAGGCTATGGAGTAGCTACAGGTGATGCAGGCATCATGCCCCGTACCAAGCCAAGCCTCTCCAACAGGCTGCCCTTGGCCATGCCGGAGATCCAGGCAGTCAGGCAGCATACAAAGCAATACCTCAGATCAAAGCCGCCACCCTTGTCATGCCTACTTTCTACCTGTGGCACTTCGGATATGTTTGTGCACACCAGAGGGAGATCTGGTAGCGGTCTGTGATCAAAGGCCCCGCTCCACCTCACCTCTCTCACCAGGAAGTGGCACCAGAGGATGTGGAGTGCTAGACCTCTGTTCTCCTTCACAGGCCCTGCTCTGGCAGTGTCCTCCCAGACTCAGCCAGCCTCCTCAGGAGGGGCCAGAACAGAGCCCCAGCACAGACCATAAGCATAAATATTCTCTCTCTCTTTTTTTAATCCTCAGCCAAGGACATGCTTATTGATTTTAGTGAGAGGGGAAAGGAGGGAGAGAGAAAGGGAGAGAAATACTGATGTGAGAAAGAAACATCAATTCGCAGCCTCCCCCACATGCCCTGACTAGGGACTGAGCCTGTGACCCAGGCATGTGCCTTGACTGGGAATTGATTTGCAGCTTTTCAGTTTCCAAGATGATGTTCCGAACAACTGAGCCACACTGGCCAGGGCAAATATCCTTCCTTGGTGGAAGCCTGGCCACAAGCCCTCCCCTCTCCCCTTTAATAATTTGCCCCCACCTCTCTCCAGTCTGCTCTAGGCCTGATGGGTAGGTGCCTGGACCCTTGCAGAGAAGTCCTTTGGGCCCCAGAGCAGGGACTCTCAGTACGTGGGGAGAGAACAGGACACTCGTGGTTCGAGTTCTGGCCTCTGCCCCACCCCTGGAGTGAGCCATGTAGACAGGCAGAGAGCTGCTTCCCGTGTGTCAGAGCATGGCCTCTGTCCCCTGGGGTGGCCCCTAGCTCTCTGCCTGTGCGCCAGACCTGTTTCTGAGGAACAAGGTAAATTTTTTTTTTCCCACTTAAGTGGTTGCTGAAGCTTAGTGTACAAGATTCCTCAGGTGGTTCTAAAAATCTGGCTTTTTGTCTGAGTTCAAAAATTGTAGGAGTTTTTTAAGCAGGTACTTCAGTTCACTCATTAGAGGGAGGAGAAGAGTTGGGGGAAGAGGAGGGATTCTGGAATATTTTCCTTCATAGTCAGTCCCAGCACAGCAGCAGCGTCATAAACCCAGGGGACCATCGATGGAACCTTCGCACCCAACGTATTCTTCTTGGAGGAATTAGGACAAAGGCCAAGAGACTGTTACCTGCACACAGGAGAGATGCCCAGGTCAGAGAAAGGGCCTGCAAGGTAGAAAGGCAGGTCTATGAAGCCTCCCCTCCTACCCTCGTAGAGTGGGTCAGGGTGGGATCTGGGTACTCTGTGCGCTCTGCCCAACCTTGCTTGGGTCCATCGAGCCACTTTGTCAAGGGCAGGGCAAGTCCAGTGAGGGTAACAAGCAGCCTGGCTATAGGTTTTGGTCCCTGTCCTTAGCCCTGAATCCCAGAGGCAATGGGAAGAGAAAGGGACATCACCTGTTCCCAGGGACTGGGCCATCCCGGTTCAGGGAGCACAACTGCTGCTCCAGCCGGGAGATGCGGAATGCCAGGTAGGATGAGGACATGACCAAGAAGCAGATCCTGGAGGAGAAGGGGCAAGGGGGTCTGAATCCCTCTTCTAGAAACAGGGCATTTTTAGAGGCCCACCACGAGTAGGAGTGGGACTGAGCTACTCTGGCAATCGGACGAGTTACAGAACCCTTAGCCCTGCAGCCACGTTCAAGCCTGGGCATCTCTCATCCCAAAGGCACCATGGGGGTCCCTCATCTCCCCTGGGACTCATCTCCCTGCAGGTGTCCTCAAAGCCCAGCAGGAGTGTGGGTTCTTCAGCTGATCCCACCTTCCCTCTAACCATCCACCTTGATCCTGCACCTCCTCTGGGAGAGTAAGGTCACCCTCTAAGGGGGTAGGCCCCAGCCAGCTAAGCCGGGGGAAGGTGATGAGGTTGGACGGGAGGAAGCCAGGGACTGGCTGTTCGTGACACATCCCACTCAACCCGCTATCTGCTGGTCCTTAGGCAGTTACAGACAAGCCAGGGGTACCAGAAACTGTCCAAAGGGCAGCTTTCCCTAATCTATCTGATGCCCTCTCCAATTTTGCCAGCCCTCCCCAATTCTGTGCAATTCATCCTTTTCCCAACAGTTTCATATACTGCCCCTCCTCATTGCTCACAGTCTTAACCCTAAATTACAGGGTTGTAAAAATAAAACTGGAGATACTCTGTCTCACCACAGAAGGGCCTGCCAGGTCACCTCTAGACACCACCCAGGAGCTTTTGGTTGACTCAGAATCTTCCCCTCGCCCTGGACAGTGACCCCCCAACCAAACACACACCAGGGCCCCTGCTCCAAACACCCAGACAGCCAGCTGGGTCTACCCCCTCCCCCAGCACGGTCACCTACAGCACAAAGAAGACCTTGAGGAGCCGGCAATTCCAGAGCCTCAGTTCCTCATTGCTCCTGGGCTCCTCCTCCAGCGCCTCCTGCTCACAGACAGCCTTCTCTGCAGTGAGAGAGCAGTTAGTCACCTTCCTGGGGCAGGCAGGACCCTGTCTCAGTATGGGCATGCCCACCTTCTGCCATTCTCTGAAGCAGCTGGGCCTCCTGGCTTTCCCTATGGACTTGGAGAAAGAAAGAAACAGCCTTCAGAAGCCCTGCTGGCTGTGAGGATCGCTTTTCACAGCAGTGGGAGAAGGGGAAGACTGGTTTTCGCATGCCGTTGCCATTGACAAGCCCCCTGAACTCACCAGACCGCGGAGGTCTCCTGGAGGGGAAGAAGCTGTCCGGGGAGTCCGTGGATGCCCGAGGCATACAAGGGATGCTGTCTGGGAGGGACAGGGACCTAGAGGCAGGGCACACTTTCCTCCACTTCATCTCAGGGATGAGGACTTCCTGCAGAGAAAGAAGGAGAAGCTGTCCCATCATAGCCCTTGGGGTCTTACTTGTCCTAAGGGGCCCATCCCAGTGTTATCAAAGCTTTCTTCGTATATTACCAACACAGATGCCCAACACAGCATGGAAACAGGTACCCAGGAGGGGAACCACTGCCAGAGCAACTGCGGTCTTTCCTACCCACTCCCTTGCTGCGATCAGCTGCTCTTTCAGCGAACAATGTCTTTGAAGATTGCTAGTGTAGAACCACAGAGGGATCCAAGAGGTGAGCCCACCCGAGTACATGCTCAGGACAGCTGAGTCCGAGAGGGCTCAGCACAACCTGCCTCAGGTGGGATAAGTCATGACTCCTAATCTGGGCTCTAAGCCTAAGCACATCACTGATCTTGGCAGTGGGCACCTAAGGTTCTCATCAACAAAAAATGGGAACATCACCTTCTATCTCCCTCCTTGGTACTGTGCCTCCTGCATGCTTGGCTGACTGCTTAATAGTTACTGAAGGAGGCTTCAAATTCCTTGGGGCCGCTTCCATCCTCCATCCCTACTCTAAAAACTCAACTCTGCCTACCCTGAACCCCAGCTGGCAAAGGAAACTGCTAGGACCTCAGCAAGTCTAAAACGAGTCTCAGTTCTACATTAAGAGCCTCTGAAGTTCCTCCCCAGGGACATCTCTATCCTCTTAAAGGCCCTCCTGACTTTTCTAAAAGAAAGAGGATGGGTCACTGGTTCTGTGCCTGTAAAGGTGTGGGATCCAATCTGGACTGTTTGGGGGCTAGGTACCTGTTCTGCTCACAAAGCAGGCAGATCTGCCCAGGACCTGGTGGCTCTGCATGGTATGGGGTGTGGTGGGTCTAGGAGACCCCTGACACAGCATGGCTGCTGGCCCTTGAGCCTGGTGCCTCAGTTCTGCATTGTGGGCCCCGGCCCGGAAGGCCTGAAGCCTCCGAGCCACAGGCAATCCCAAGCCAGCGGCGTTTGCTCCCAGCCCCAGCTCTCACCAGAGACTCGCACTCAGGTTCCTCTGGAAATTCTCTTACACTCAGACTCTTCTTGCTGGAAGGCTGAGGAGGAAAGGGAATAGGGGTTACTTGCCCATCTGGAACAGCCACGGTCAGGCACAGGGAGGCGTTAGTATGCCCTAAGAGGGCTTCACCTCCATTTTGGATCGATGGAGCCCAGCTCCCAGTGTTTGCAGGGGTGCCCTATTTAAGGCTGGAGCAGAGGGGCAAGTCCAAGGCAACTACTCTCCCCTGCTGCGGCTGCCCCTCCCCCTCCCTCACCTTAGGCCAGAGGGAGCTACAGGCATCCAGGGGAGCAGCCCATGCTGCCGTCTTCCTGTACACTGAGGAAGCACAAGGGAGGGAGTACACATGGGGACACACGAGGTCCGACTGGCCTCAAAGAGACGTGCTCACAAGTATACCCAGTCCAAGGACTGCCTCCCATACAGAGGCTGAGCCTGTTACTCCCCTCTCCCTGCCCTCGATCCCTGTGCTGAAGAAATGGGCCGACCTCCCCTACAGACTTGTTCCCAAAGCCTCAGTCCAGGCCTGAGCAGCCTCCCTGCCTAAGTCCGGCCACTGAGCTCCATACCTGTAGGTGAGTGCAGACCCTCCTCAGCATGTCATACACACTGTCCCGGGAGAGCAGTGACACAAAAATATACTGGGACATGGAAAGAAAACAAAGGGGTGGGGTGAGTAAAGACTTGGGAGTCTGCCGGAGCCGGCCTGTGGGCTCCTGGGGCAGGGATGGGGAGGCTGACAGAGGGCGTGGCTCAGAGACTCACGGACCTTCTGGCTAGTGTTGGTGGTGATGGCCAGGCCATTGGGAAGGAGCCGTGCCATCTTGTGTTTTTTGATCATTTGCACAGACACCACGGGAATGACCACCTGAGGGAGGAGAGGCATGGTTCTCTCAGGACTCATTCCCAAGTACATGGCCCCGTTGCTCCCGGCGCAGGGTCCCGGCCCCAGCTGGCAGGGAGCCAAGCCCGGCACCATGGAGAAGCCTGGCCCCACATGGCAGAGAGTATCTGAACCTTCCCCTTCTCATGCAGGCTTCCCTTCCAGTTGTCTCCCACCGTGCCTAGCCTTGGCAGCGCATGTCCCTCCAGGCTTTCGCCCTCTTACCCAGGAGGCCACGGGTGGCGGCTCTGGTGAAACTATACCCTAGTAATGGACTTTCCTGGGCTACTTCCTGACCATGTTGACGGCTCCCCCAGGTGTGACAAACCACTCTGATTCTGAAGGCATCTCAGAGGCAGAATAATTTGGTTGCAAACTCTTCAGTCCAACTCAGGCCAGACAGTAGAGTCTAGATTTGGGGTCCCTCTTTTGGCAGGGGCAGCGCTGACACCAGGTAGGATGCCTCACAGCTGCTCGTGCAACCAGCAAGCGGGCTAGACAGGCATGACGAAAGGCCTGCCTGCGGGGCAGGGGCTATCTCTTCCCTGGGCTGGGGCTGGACCCTCGCTGGACTACGGCAGACCTTGCCACTCTTTACTACCTTGATATCCTTGCCAAAGAGGCTGGCATGGAAGCAGAGCCAGTTGGGGGAGATATAGAGCCGGCCCTGAAGAAGGAGGTCCCTCTGGAGAGCGCAGGAGCACACTGGGAAGTCACAGGAGAGAGGACTACCATGAGCGAGGTCAGTCAGGAAGCGCCAGGGCCCGGGTCCTCACACTCAAGAGTCCAGAATCCAGCCTCAGGAACTGTTTTTCTCAGACCCCCACTTCCCAAGCAACTCATCCCCCAGTACCCCAGGAATCCCTTTCTGGGAGTCCTGACTGCTCCCCCCCCACCAGATGGCTAGATGTTTCCTCTCTTTCCACCCCTGTCCCAGAGGGTCCAGGCAGGTTTCTGCCCTGGTCCCCCGGGCCTGGATTCTCACTCCCTCACGCAGAACCCCTTGCCCTGCCTGCAGAGAGGACTCCCACAGGCTCGGAGAGAGGCCTGCGCAGGAAAGAAGAGTCACTGATAAGACTAGAACAGAAATAAGATTTGGAAGCCCTGAGCTTTCCTCAAGAAAACTTTCATAAATTCAACTTCACATCCCAAACCAGTCTAGTCCTCACACACTTTTGAAGAGTAAAGGACCAGCCACATCCAAAGGGCAGCCAGTTCCCACTTCCACCTTGTGAGGCAGTACCTGGGCCTCAGGCGCTGCAGGCACCTGCCCCGGCACGCCAGGGGACAGCTCACCTTTGAGAACCACCTCCTCCATGGGGATATCCTTGAACAGCTTATGGTATTGCTGGTTGTATTTACTCAGCAGTGTCTGCAAACACACGGGCTGGGGCTGAGAAGTCCTGGGAGATCACACACCAAAGGGGCCCTGCTCCAGTCACCAGGAAATAATGTCACGGCGCAAGAGGCCGGTCAGTTGCCATTGGGTACAGAGGGCTGAGTTCCAAGCACAGCTTGTCTCCTGGTCACAGGGGGTCCTGACAGGCAGCCTATGCCTGGAAGGGGAATGCACCACTCCCGCCCAGGAGGGGACACCACTCAGGTGTACTGGTGGCCAAGGAGCCAGCAATCACCGAATTCAGGGAGCCCAGGGCCCTCCCTTGCTGGTGGCAAGAAGTCAGCCTTCACACACTTACCCCTTCTCGACTGTACTTCTTAATCTCTTCACCCTTCAAGCCTCCTGGCCAGTGAAGACTGCTAAGGAGACAATCAGTTCCAGGGGCAAGGAACCCTGGAGCCCTACCCATGATGTGTCCTCAGTGCCAGTTCTGCCCTGGCTTCAAGCTTGGGGCAGAGATTGGAGAGGGGCCCTTCCCTAGGGACCACAGCACAGGGATAAGCACAGCAAATAACTCAACCCTGGGGAAGGACGCTCCTGGCTGCACAGAGGGGCCGCACAAGGGAGTCCCAATGAGCCCTCCCTCCAGGCAGCCGTGCACCGTCCCCCCAACCCCAGGGGATTTGCTCAGCCTGAGCTTAGGTCTCCCAGAGATGCTGAGGAGCCATCGACCCCTGGGTGTCAAAAACCCTTTCCTACTTCTCTGGCCAAGGGGTAACAGAGCAGCAGACTCAAGAATAAATGAGCAGGAGGCACAAGGAGGGATGGGGACCAGTTTGGGGAGTGGGTGAGATGGAGGTGTCAGACTCACAGCTCCGAGGCCTGACCATGGGCCATGATCCCAGCTGGGCTGCCCCCAGCAGCCTCCTCCTGGTGGCCTGGAGCTCTGCACTGAGGAGTTCGGCAGGCTCACCGACCTCACAGAGACTACCAAGGTGGGGGGAGGATGGGGTGGTGCTGCAGCACAAACCTTTGTCCCAGCCAAGCTGGCCTGAGGACAGGTGGGCAGGGGAGGAGGCTGGTAACCTGAGAAGCCGGACTCCGCTAGGTCCCAGTGCACTGGGTAAGGCCTGGGAGTGGGAGGAAGAGGCCCTGGGCCACCTAGGCTCCACCTAACGTCTTCACTCAGCCTCAGGGCCCCACTTCTAACAGGTCACCTCCTGAGGGCTCTCCACCCCAAGTCCATATGCATATCTGACTTGGCAGGGCCTCACCTGGACTCCTGGGGCGTTGGGACCCTCTCCAGTTTCTCTGTGCAGAACACAGGGCTCTTCAGAGAGGTCGTCTTCCCATGCATCTGTTGGTTGCTAAAAAGAAACAGGCCCACAATGGGAAGCGGGGCTTCATGGGCACACCTTTCCCTACCAGCTCCACCATACCCAGGGCAGCTGCCGTGGCCCGCCACCCCAGACTAGCCCTGCGACTCGGGGTGAGGCTGAGAAGACATTGCAGCCCTGAGGCAGCAGCTCAGACAGGTGTTCTGCGGCAGCCAACAGAGGAGGGAGTCTCACTAGTTGTCTTTCCTAGAAGCCTGAGTTCAGTTTATTACTGGGCTGGAAGAAAATCTATCTCATGTGAATGCCATACAGAACTAGGCCTCTGGCCCCGCCCTTAGGAAGGCACCCTGGGAGGGAGGACTCTGAGACTCACTCAAGGCTGAAAGCCAGTTTCTAAGGGGCCCAGGACGCATTACCATAAACCGTCGGTTTCCAGGAAAGGACGCTGGGCTCAAGAGCCTTTTCAAAGCTGGGGAGCTGATGCGGCCAAAGGTGTGGGATGGACTCCTGACAGCCCACAGGTAAGTGTGGGCCAGGAGGGGCGGGGCTGCCCCACACCAGGAAGTCACCATTGGCTGCCTTTGGACAATCAGGGTAGTACAACCCGAGAGCCACACCATCTCAAAAATGTTCCAGACTGAAGGCCCTGAAGGAGGAGGCACCTCTTCCTGGGAAGAAGGAGCTGAGGAGCTCCTTCTTTCCTCAGTGGCCTTCAAGTTCATGCCTCCACTAAATGGCTCCAAATAATAGGGGCTTTCTCCCCTCCAGGAAGACAAGTTGGAAATAATAAAGCCTTGAGCAGTCAGACTAGCCCCGAATGGAGTGGGCCCAGGGGAGCCAACAAGCAGAGCCAAGGCAGGACAGTGCAGTGGCAGGAATAGGTAACAAGGTCCCATGCAGTGGTCTCTCCCAAATAAGGAGCAAATCACAGTGCTCAGTTGCTCTCAGCTCTGTGACTCAGGCAAGTCCAAGTTCTCTCCTTCAAGAACAGAGTTACAGACTCAGCAGAGATCTGCCAAGACATTCAGAGATTATTTAGTTTGATCCCCACCTCCCGCCCCCGCCACCAGATCCTCATACAGATTAGGAAACTGAGAGCAAGCAGGGGACAGGCTGTACCCAATGTTGCAGCCACGTGACCTCACTCATAAAATCAGCCCAGCCACACGTGACCTGTTGACCTCTGCTCAGCCTTATGGAAGGTTTTGGTATACACACCGACGTATATTTCTTAAATCTTGCAAAGTGACAGACTGTACGAGTGATTTGACCCTTTGACTCCCAAAGTTAATTCCAGAATTTATTTGGTTCCATCATTTCACATTTCACAGAGACTTTTTCCCCCCTTGATTTAAAAAAATATATATATTATTGATTCTAGAGAAAGGGGAAGGGAGGGAGAAAGAAAGGGAGAGAAGCATCAGTGTGAGAGCCCTGCGGCCCAGGCATGGGCCCCGAACCGGACCTGTGACATCTTGGTTTGCAGGGCAAAGCCCAACTAACTCTGCCAGACTGGCCAGGGCCTCCCTTGGTTTTTTTAATGCTCATTACACAAAATATATAAATATGACAATCAAAATCACCCACTAGAAAAAATCCCCCAAATCACCCAAAGATGCATTTATGCATACATTTATAATTTATGTGAGTGGGATTATATATCATATTATTTGTATGTTGTTTTTCTTTCTTAACATAATTTCATAAGAAATTCTCCATATCACTGTCCATTCCTGAGATAGAGTCTCAGAAGTGAAATTAAGGGATCAAGATGCTTTCCATGATGCTTTCCAGATGCTTTCCTCGTTGGCGCAGATTAGCCCTGTGCCAGGGAGCCCATGTCCTTAGGCCCGAGCCCTACGCTGGGTATTATCTTACTCTTGCCTTTCGCAAATTTGATAGGTGAGAATATATTGTTTTTCTATTTCTACTTACTGGTAGGCTGAACATTTTCTCCCAAATATTTATTAACCACTGAAATATCAGTTGTCTATAAGGATCTTCATATTTTTCTTATTGATTTACAAAAATTCTTTATTGAGAATATTAATCCTTGGCTTATCATTTTTGCAAATATTCCCCTTAGTTAGTCTTGCATTTTAGCTTTGTCTGGTATTGTTGCTATACTTGTGTTTAATTTTTGTGTGGTAGATTCCACCTGTCTCTTTCATCTCTCTGTTCCTTACTTGGTTTGGGTGTTTTCGTTGGAGCAGCCCTGAAAGTGGCACATGTCCAAGGCGAACCACTGAGACCTTAGAGAGCATGAGCTGGGCAGCCCATGAGCCCACTGGGCCACCAGGGACGAGAAGGGCATGGGCTTCACTCTAAGGAACAAGCACTTGAGTCTGTAGACCAGGGGGATACAACAAGACCCCAAGGAGAAGGAGATGGAGCTTGGCTCTTGGTTTCAGAGGCAGGAAGACTGTCTCTCAGACACTGGAGAGTGTGATTTGAGCTGTAAGGGCCGCAGGAACTCAGGGACACATTGATCCTGGCTGAGAGAAAGAGTTACGGAAGGGCTCTGAGAGAAAAGGAAGCTGAGCCTCATCCATGGGGTAGGACTATGATCTTACTTGGATTCCATAATCTAACTGTGCATGGACAATCATTGCATGGATTCCAAACCACCTGTCTTTAGGTTTAAACGTGACTTTCTCAGAGAGGAGAAGCTTCCCTCAGCCCTCTGCAGCCTGGGGTGGAGGGCCTGCTGGGGCCCCCTCAACACCCTGATCACACCTCTAGTGAGGTGATCTCACCTCACACAGTGAGAAACGGTGTGCTCTCACTGTTCATCTCCAGGGCTCTAAACATCAGTGACTCTGCCTCCTCCACACTGCCGCCCTGGGCCTGAACCCCAGGGTGCTGCAGGCACACGTTTGAGGAATGACTGGAGAAGACAGCGTAAGCAAGGTAAAGAGCAGAAGCTAGAGGAGCTATGGACTGTGCAGGGAACAAAAGAGGGCTGTGTACATTCCCTCTGCACCTCCATTAAGAAATCTGCAGTAAAAGTGGTGTCATTTGGGAACACACAACTTCCAAATATCTTTAAACTAAAAGTGACCCCTTTATTGTGGTGAGTAGGATGGTTACAAGTCATTCCTTCCTGCTCATTCATGTGAGCAATTCACTTCCTCAAGTCAGTTGCTCTTACTCTGCGGGCTGTGAATCACACCCCCTGCCCATCCATCTCTATCCCACCTCCACGTGCACACTGTGGAGTTAATAACCTCAGCGGTTCTCCAAGAAGATAAAAGACCTATACTCAGAGAATTATAAGATACTGAAGACATTGAAGATGATACGAATAAGTGAAAGCATATACTGTGTTGACAGATAGGAAGAATTAACATCATTAAAATGTCCATACTAACCAAAGCATTCTATAGATTCAATTCAATTCCTATCAAAATAGCATATTTCTTTTTATTGATCTTGGGAAGAGGGGAGAAGGGAGAGAGAAACATTGACCCACTGCTCCACCTGTCCATCCATTCATTACAGGTCGCCCTTTGTAAGTGCCCTCATTGGGGATCGAACCCACAATCTTGGACAACGGTCTCACCAACTGAGCTTCTTGACCAGGGCCCAATGGCATATTTCACAGAGCTAGAACAAGTAATCCAAAAAATCATTTGGAACAACAAAGACAAATAGTCTCAGAAATATTGAGAAAGAAGAACAAAGTTGGAGGTGTTACGCTACCTGCTATCAAACTGTACTACAAGGCTATAGTAATCAAAATAGAATAGTACTGGCATAAAAACAGACATATAGATCTATGGAATAGAACAGACAGCCTAGAAATAAACCTATGCCTATGTGGTCAATTAATATTTGACAAAGGAAGAAAGAACATACCATGGGGTAAAGACAGTCTATTCAATTCATGGTGCTGGGAAAATTGGACAGATATATGCAAAAAAATGAAACTAGACCACCTTCTTACTCCATATCCAAGAATAAACTTAAAATGGATTTTAATCTTAAATGTAAAACCATAAAACTCCTAGAAGAAAACATAGGCAGTAAAATCTCTGACATTTTTTGCCATGGCTGGTATGGCTCATTTGGTTGGAGAGTAAACCCATAGACCAAAAGGTGTTGAGGGTTATATTCTCGGTTGGGGCACAAAACCAGGCTGCGGGTTTGATCCCTGGTTGGGGCGTGTATGGGAGGCAACCAATCAATGTTTCTTCTTTCTCTCTCTCTCTCTCTCTCTCTCTCTCTATCTCTCTCTCTCTCTCAAAGCAAGTAAAAAATATCCTTGGGTAAGGATTAAAAATATAAGTAAATAAAAAAATCTCTGACATTTCTCTTAGCAATTTTCTTCTGATACATCTCCTCGGACAAGGAACATTAAAAAATAATAATAATAAATGAGACCACATCAAACTAAAAAGTTTTTGCGCAGCAAAGGAAACCATCAACAAAACAAAAGACAATCTACTGAATGAGAGAAGATATTTGTCAATGATACATCCAATAAGAGGGTAAGATTCAAAATTTATAAAGATCTCATACTACTTAAAACAAACAATCCAGTTAAAAAATGGGCAGAGGACCTGAATAGATACATCTTCAAAGAGGACATACAGATTGCCAAAAGACATGTGAAAAAATACTCAACCTCACTAATCATCAGAGAAATGCCACAATGAGATATAACCTCATACCTGTCAGAGTGGTTATCATCAATAAATCAACAAACAAGTGTTGACAAGGATGTGGAGAAAAGAGAACCTTTGTGCACTGTTGGTGAGGATGCAGATTGGTGCAGCTACTATGGAAACAGTATAGAGGCTCCTTGAAAGATTAAAAGTGGACCTGCCTTATGGACCCAACAATTCCACTTCTGGGTATACATCCAAAGAAACCCAAAACACTAATTTGAAAGAATATATGCACCCCTGTGTTCACTGCAGTGTTATTTACAATAGCCAAGATATGGAAGCAACCCAAGTGCCCATCAATAGATGATTAAATAAAGAAAAGGTGGTACATATATACAATGGAATATTACCTGGCCGTAA